GTTATGGGGGTGCTATGGACTGAATGTGTCCCTTCAACGTTTATTTATTTTTGAGACCGAGAGAGACAGAGCATGAACGGGGGAGGGTCAGAGAGAGAGGGAGACACAGAATGTGAAACAGGCTGCAGGCTCTGAGCAGTCAGCACAGAGCCCGACGCGAGGCTCGAACTCACGGACCGCGAGATCGTGACCTGAGCCAAAGTCGGACGTTCAACCGACTGAGCCACCCAGGCACCCCTGAATGTGTCCCTTCAAATTTGCATGTCGAAACCCAGCCCATAATGTGATGGCGTTGGCCAGGAGGCTTTGTGAGGTGATTTGGCCATGAGGGCGGAGCCCCCACGATGGGATAAGTGCCCTTATACAGGGGACAAGAGGGCTTGCACTCCTGTGAGGACCTAATGAGAAAGTGGCCATCTGCAACCAGGAAGCCGGCTGTCACCAGACACGGATCCGCCAGTGCCTTGGCCTTGGCCTTCCCAGCCTCCAGAACCGTGAGAAGTAAACGTCTGTCGTTTAAAACGCCCAGTCTCTGGTGTCTGGTTAAAAGAACCCAAGCAGTCCCGGACAGGAGCTTTGGTTCTTACCCACACAAATGGCCGTGCTTATATCTTACAAACCTTCTGCTAAGTCCCAAATGGTGACTTTGTTCTTGTCCCCAATCTTGGGGAAGTAAACGTAGCTTCCATCGTGTGATACCGCAGTGAGGCCAGTGCGATCCAGAAACGGGGTAGAGGCCCTTGGCTGCTGCACAGACGTGAGATCCCAGACTTTGAAAGATGAGGACTGCTGGGAAGCAGATGCCACCAAGGCCCCACCCCAGACCAACAGGCTCACGGGGGCCCCGACGCCTTCCAAAACATCCAGCAGGGTCCCCTGCTCCGACAGACTCCACACCTGAGGATGGACAGCAGAAGGCCAAAGCTGACTTCTTCCTTACGCTGTCATAGCTAAGAAATATGCATGAACCCATTTGTCCACCTCTGGTGAATTCTCAGGCTGCAGTTCAAGGGCCTTCTCCACCCCCTCAAACCTCCCCACCCCTCACCGAGCCGCTACCACAGCAGTTCTCAAAGTGTGGTCCAGGGAACCCCTAGAGGGTACCGCCAGGCATTTTCAGGAGGGCTTGCAAACACAAAACTGTTTTCATCATAATTCAAGATGCCATTTGCCTTTCCTACTCTCTTCCTCTCACAAAGGAGCGGTGGAGGTTTCCAGAAGCTATGGGACATGAGATGTCACACCAGATCAGAGAATGCAGAATCAAGTACGAGAAGCCAACGGTCTCCTATTGAGCCAGACACGAAAGAGATTCGTCAAAATGCGCAACCACGCCACTCTTCTCGTGAGTTTTGTCTGTTCGTTTCAGAAACTACAGGATTTTCGTAAAAGTGCGTTATTACATTGACACGTAATGTTCATGAATCAACGGAGAAGTATTTTTGGATGTCCTCGCTGCTAATTTTTAATATGGTAATTACCATCAGGGACCAAATGCAACGCGGGATCCTGGACTGGATCCCAGAATAAAGAAAAAGAGGACATTTGTGGGCAAGCTGGTGAAACTACAGAAGAATTTGCAGACCGGTTAATAACAGTATTGTCCCAATATAAATGTTTCAGTTTTGATAAAGGGCCCGGGGGGACATGAGACGGTAACATCGAGGCAAGCAGGGTGTAGACGAGATAAATATGTATCCTAAAACTATTCCCCAAATAAATCATTTGTTAAGAATATGTAAATCCAATATATAAATCTATAAATCAAACTGATATAACCCACTTATTGAGAATCTTTGGGATCCTTGAGAACCTTTAAGAATGTAAGCCTGAGTGGCGTCCACGTGGGCGCAGTGGTGGTTAGATCCGACTTCAGCGTGCCGTCCCGATACCGTTATCCCTCTCGTGGAGTTCGACACCCCGGCCGGTCTCTGGGGTCGGCTCAGGAGCCTGAGCCCTGTTTCCATTCTGTGTCTCCCCTCTGCCCTCCCGCCTTGTTCCATGCCTGTCTTCTCTGTCCTAAAAATAAATAAATGTTGAAAAAAAAAATTTTTAAAAAAAAAAAAAAAAAAAAGAATGTAAGGAGGTCCTAAGGCCAGAACGTTGGAGAACTGCTACTTTAGTATGTGCTTTTCCCACCAGAGTGAGAACTTTGAGCTCGGTGGGAATTTTCTGCCATTTCCTCCCAACCCTTCTCCACTCTGAAGGCCAAAATCCTCCCCGTTTTTTCACGTTCCGTGGGAATGCTATCCCCTTCCTGGGAGACCTCAAGGATTATACTTTTCTATTCCAGACGCGGAGTGAGGATGACCTCTGACCTGAATGAGGGCGTCCCGGGACCCAGTGACAATCAGATTGTTCTCAGGACCAAAACTGGCTGTCTCCACGGTGTCCTCGTGTTCAAGGTCGGTGGCCATGAATCGATGAAACCCCTGTGAGTCTGCCAAGAATATCCGGACGGATCTTCCAAACCCTGAAAGGGCAGGGATGGGATTATCCCTTTCATTCCTGGAGGAGCTTGACAGGAGTTCAGTTTAGTCAACAAAGATTTTTTTGAGCACCGACTACTTGGCTGTGGAAGCAACACGGTGGCGAACAAGAGAGACATGGCCCGGGCCATCGCACAGCCTAGAGTTGTCAGGTGCAGGG